TAAGGAGGTGCGAGAGGTTGGTTGTAGCAGGAGTTAGGAGAGGTAGAGGTAAGCTGAAGAAGAACTGGGGGGAGGTGATTAGACAGGACAAAGCACAACTTCAGTTGACTGAGGACATGACCTCAGATATGAAGGTATGAAGGTCGAGGATAAGGATTGAAGGTTAGTAGGTAGATGAGTGTTGTCGCATTCTGTCAGGAGGAGGGACTGGGCTAGTTTCCTCCTCTCCTTTTAGTATTATTATCAATTATCACATAGTTTCTTATTCTTCAAGGTGTATTACTATCTTTGGTTGCATTCTTTTTGTATCTTGCTACTTTGTTGTCTCTTTTCTGACTATCCTGCGTCAGATACCTCTCTAACTCAAAAAGGTAGGGGGTGAGGTCTGCATACATCCTAGCTCCCCAGAGCCACTTGTGGGATTACATCAGGTATGTTGTTGTTGTTATATCAATTTCTGGCTTCTCAAAGGCAACATGGATTGCAACCAATTGAAGGTCAGTGATTCGCAGAAGAAATCAGGAAAGATTAAATTAAGAAGGCTAACAGATAGTTACTTGTGACTGGACAAACCCCCAACCTCAACGCACCCAAAAATATTCTAAAAAGTGAAGAAAATCAGCAAAACAAAAATTCTACTTAATAATGTATAGGAAAACCATAAGATGTAATTTTCAACCATAACAAATTTAGTTATATCAGCAACCAAAGTGCAATTACCTCCTTCCCAATCTTTCCGCTGATAGTCTCATCTTTAATTGAAGCTATGAGCTCCCCCAGTTCTTGAGGGGTAAGTTTAATCTCATTGATAGTCACTTTTTCATTTTTCATGTACGCAGCAATATCTCCCATAATCCAATTGGCAGCAAGCTTTATATCAGCACCTCCTGCAGTTGTTGTATCAAAAAAATCTGCAATCTGAAACATGCAATTATCAGTGGATTCTGGATATTTCTACAAAGAAATAATGGGAAAAGCTGGAAAAGGCCTGATTTTGCAAGATAACAGTCCAGAAATTTTAATAACAGGATGATGATGTCATACTTTAGGACTCCTTTGAAGACAAACTTGATAGGGGAATCCATCCATGTTAAACCATAAAGTCCATGAAAGGATGGTAGTGTTCTTGAACAACATCATCCTTCCCTTCACTTCTATTCCTTTACTTATCCAAGTTCCCACCCTCTTCTCACCACCAACCCACCCAACTTTGGTCTCATTGGGCCATTGGAAGAGAAGGAGAAGGGAGAAGGGAAGGTAGATATTTCCAAGAGGCATACAGCTAAATGGACTTTGTGTATCTAAAAGTCAAATAATGCTTGTCCTTTTTGATGCTTAAGGATTTAAAGCATCATATTAAATTTCCGGCGAGAAGCACTTCATGCACAGGTTAAACCCTTACGAAATAACATCAGCTTGATAGATTTTAGTACTGGAGTGTCCACATGCCAATAAGGCAGTAGAAGCAGAACCTGACGATGAGAAGCACTTACATTGATGTCATTGGCAAGAAAAAGGACATCTTGCATGCTTAGGCCCATTTTCTCGTACCTCCGACGCTTATCTTCTGGAAGTTCAGGCAATGACTCACGGATACTGTTCACATACTCCTCGGTGAGAGTAACTCCAGGAAGATCAGGTTCAGGGAAATAACGATAGTCAGCAAGTCCTTCCTTTTTTCGCATGGTTACTGTTTTCTAGATATATGAGAAAGTTAAGCATATAAGGTTTCCCTGGAAAGACTTGAGTAAACTACTCTGACATACTGCAGTAGTATAAAAGTACAGTTGCATACCTGAGCACCTTCCTCCCATAGACGAGTTTCCTGTACAATTTGATCACTCTGGCCTTGGTTATGTAGTTCCACCTGTCTTGAAATTTCATAATCGATGGCCCTACTCATCGATGAGAAGGAGTTCAAGTTTTTAATTTCAACCTGACACAAGATAAAATATATCAGTTCATTATATAGAATGCTGACTTAACAATATGCAACTTAAACTAAACACTCACTGCTGAGAATTTCCATAACATAGAAAGGCAACAATAAAGAATTAACACCAGATGAAGTAAGAACTTGATCAATAATAGAGAAGAAATAATGTAATTGACATGAAAGTTGCGAAAAGGGAAAATCATGGTCACTCACTCACTCTAGCGACAAATACAAGGACAGCTAACTTAAAGTCTTGAATGGCATTTAATATGTAGTTTGAGGAATTAAGACAAAAAATTGCATGCTAAACATGTCTCCAGTTTCAAGTTTGTCAAACAAAGGCGGTTTCCACCAAATGAAGCTGAAATTATGTTCATCAGAATATAAAATACTGGGTTCACAAAACTTAGCATGCAAATATAAACTCCTCCGGGACCTACCATAGACCACATTTCACATTAAAATGACAAGTACACTCCCTTACTAATTTTAAGGCTAAGGCGAGAATTTCATAAATGACCAAACTGGACTTACACCTGCCGCTTAATTAAGTTGTCCATTAACCTGATTATATAGGAGACATTCTTTGTGGTGCATAGATGAACAATGGAATAGGAGCCAATGTATCACTTAAAACACAAAAGTTACCGAACCATCTACATAGAAGAATGGCAGAATAAGATAAGACAGAATAACATCCACAAAGGAAAGCAAACTAGAATTTAGAATCTTCATGCCTGAATCATCTAGCTATAAATTAGTATTTCCTATGCATAAAGGAAAGCAACAGAGATAGAAAGCATATCATGCAAACCTTTGTACCAAACTCTAATTGCCCAATAGGACGAACTGAAATATTGACGTCGCAGCGAAGTGATCCTTCTTGCATGTTCCCATTACCCACTCCCAAATACCTGACCAACCTTTGCAATTCTGCAGCATATTCTGCAGCTTCAATACCAGTTCTCATATCTGGTTCAGATACAATTTCTAACAATGGGACTCCAGCCCTATTTAAGTCAACCTGTATCAAAGAGCCAAACAAATCAACACCTACCTAAAATTCATAGTGAATACTTTATCAATAGAAGCAACAAGTATGTTAGATCAAATAATCTAACTCCATTAATGCAAATATACAAAGTAAATCACCATAAATTGATACAAACATCAATGGCCATAACATTACAATGTGATGCATCTGATGAATATAAGAATATGCCATCTGAAACAAAGGGTCAGAAAATAGAAAAAAAATGGAGAGCATGCGAATGTTTAAATGTGAAGGAGTTCTTTCCTGCGAGTAGCTTCCACCATCCGTATGAAGCAGCTTTCCTGCATCTTCTTCCATATGCACCCTGGTAATGCCAAACTTTCTATGGCCACCGCCATACTCGAGTGGAAGATCCACATCAAGAAAACCACCACTAGCAATTGGGATATCAAACTGTGATATTTGATACCCTTTGGGAAGATCAGGATAAAAGTACTGTTTTCTATCAAACTTGGAATTCAAAGATAGTTTACAATTAAGTGCAAGGCCAACTCTTACTGCACACTCTATCACCTTTGAGTTCAACACTGGCAATGCACCAGGCAAACCCATACAAACAGGGCAAACACTGGTATTTGGTGGAGAACCATAGTTATAAGGGCAGCTACAAAAAGCCTTAGTAAGAGTAGAAAGTTGAACATGGGTTTCTATCCCAATAACTGCCTCAAAATCCTTCAGAAATTTATCAACTGCTTTCGGTTGGCTTTGTGTGGAAACTTTCAATTTAGTCTGTTCCTTTTCCTGGGTTGCAGTTTGTGTCTGTGCATTTCTCATACAACAATACAAAACACCATGTTTTCTTGCAAAATATGAAGAAGGGTATAACATAGACGGGTTAAGCTGTATCCCTCTAAGGAATGTCAATGCCATCTTACTATCAAAACAAACACACTAAATTTATGCCTGCAAATCATCAAACACATATTCAGAAGCTTCAAATTAATACCTTTTTTTTTTCAAGAAAATGCCTTAAACTGTATAAAGATTGAAACTTTAAGCTGAAATTGATAAAGAAAACTGAAAATAGAGAATACCCAGGATTTATCTTGGACCAAAAAGCTTCAGCCACTGATGTAAGTCTCATAGACGAAACATTTAGAAGAGGGGCCAAAATTTTACTCCGAAATGGTGCAAAGAATTGATTTTTGAACTGTAGAGAGAAGTAGACAAGAAATTTAAGCAGCTTCTATGGAGTATGAGCATAGAAAAATTGAAAGACTGTAGAAATTCGAACACTCGAAAGAGAATTGATGAAGATAAAGAGAAAATCAAAAATCACTCAAATTCATTTTCTTAACAGTTTTAAGTAATGTATTTATACTGTGAGAAATATGAACACCAAGTGGTCGTGCCGGAGTGGTTATCGGGCATGACTAGAAATCATGTGGGCTTTGCCCGCGCAGGTTCGAATCCTGCCGTCCACGTCTGTTTTGTGTTTTCCCATTTTGTTGTCTTTTCATATCTTTCATCCTTCCTCTACAAATACGCTAGACGAACGGATGATCATGATAATAATGTTTTTTTTTTAACCGTGGTGTAGCGAGGAGGGGTGGATCATGGATGCACTACTAAAGTTATGATTTGTCATTGCGAAATCACAAACTTCAAATTATTAATTCACCTCTACAGATAAACTAGATAGACGGGTGATCATGATAAATATGTGTTTTTTTTTAATCACAGCTTTAGGTATCATCTTTTTTATTTTCTTCTTACTTGGTTCCAAATATACCAGCAAGTTCTTTTGTTGCTCCTTTTGCTATATTTATTGGTTACAATCTTGATTGATGACAAAATAAAATATGGGATAAGTTGCTAAATGACACATTTATATGTACAATTAACAAGACACTGAGGTGGACTATTTTAACTTGTTATAGAAGCCTGCACTATTTTCTATGTTAAATGGTTACTTGTAATTATCATTTAGATGGCCTATAGTTTTAAAAACTGTATTTTTATTCAAAGTATATAGAAATTAAACTCAAGTCAGAAAAGAGATATTAGAAAGAACATAAAACTTCTAATTTCTCATTTCATACTACAACAAGTGTGGCATGATGCTCTTTTGGTCCAAATAAAAAAGAGAGACTATATTAGCCAGTGACGGAACTAGAATTTTCACTAAGAAAACAGTAAGCACACGAGAAAGTACAACATCTTCTATCTTTACTCTTATCAGAATGTTAAAACAAGAAACTTTAAGCTGAAGGGAGATAACAAAATTCAGATCTGTGACCCCCTTTTTCTCTCCAGTATTATTGGAACTTCCAGGCAGAAGCAGAGATAATTGGGGTTCCTTTCCAACTGATAACTAGCCATTTTCCATCCATCTCAAAAGTGCAGAATCCGCGGAACTTGGGTAGCTCAAACAGTAAACTTGCTTGGCATAAGGATGAGTGGCTCAGTTCTGTTTCCACCATATGGAACCTGGAAAACAAGTCCCTCCACACTTTAAGATCCCCATAGCGAGGAACGGTCTCTTCTCCATGATATGTGATCATATTTCTGATGATTTTTTGTATGTAAAATCCTCCAGCTATTGCTACACCCTTGTGGTAAACGTCAAAACAATCAGCAACAGCACTGAAGTGATTTAAAGACTCGTCGAAAGAATCTATAAATTTTGGTAAATTTGTGTTTGCTACTGCTTCAATGACCACCATTATGCAAGGGTCAAGGCTTCTAATAACCTCCATCATAGATTCAAGTTCATTAGGCCAAGCTAACATAGTCCAAAGAATTGTATCTGAGTAAAATGCAACAACTTCATCAGCCTCTACATCGAAGGAATCTGTCTTGAGATTCTTCAGGTCTGAAACCACTGTTTTGAAGCAAAAAGAGACATTTACTAATGTCTCAGCAGCAAAAGCTGACAATCTCCTCCCTACATCTTCTATCATCTTTTTAGACCTTCCAACAGCACTTATTTTGAGATGCTTGAGTGGGCATTCATCTCGATCAGCAACAACTTGCATAAACGTTGTCCAGTGTGATCCACTTTTTATAGCAAGATCAATCAAATGAACCCTTTTTGCTGTTATTGTACAATCTAAGATGGCTTGTATTCCAGTGAATTTAGTCGCTTGGCGGTAGGCATACAATGGCCTCTTTGCAAATTCAGCAGGTTCAAGATCTATGATAAACTCTTCCATCTCAATAGAATATACTTCAATATCTTCTTCTCCAGTAAATAGCATTTTCCCCATCTCTCTATCAATTCTGTGTTGAAGAGCATCAGCGAAATAATACACGATTTTCTGGACCGGAGTACCAGTAGCAGAAGCAGACTGGTTACACAAGCTTAGCAGCTTTCTAGCACGATCAAATGTTCGAGTTGCAACCAGTTGAGCAGAAGCTTGAAGTAGTTCAGCTAGGTCCAAATCCTGCAGTAGCTCAGGAGACAGGCCAGAATTAGCAGTAAGGGGATTGAAAATGATGGAATAAGGATCAAATTTCTGTGAAATATGATTGAGTAATCTTTGTTTTGCTATTTTCATGATGGTCGGAGCCGATAGTACAAGAGATCCAGAAGTGCCACGTGACAATTGAAAACTTGACTCATTCAATCCTTGTCTAAGAGATCCTTGTCTTCCTTCAGCATGATCACTACATTGGTTGGCTTTCTTCTTATTTCTGGCATGACTAGAACTAGAATCCATGATTCACAATTCTTGTTCAAATAGTATCTGGAACCTTTACTTTTTATTTAAAGCACCTGCATTGAGAAAATGCTTGAGAAGAATAGTCCTGTCCTGGCTCCAGATGATCTCTGACACCATGCTTAGCACATGCAAGTCGTAGGGAAAGTGGTATTTCCAATGGTGGACGGTTGAGTAACGCGTAAGAACCTGCTCTTGAGAGGGGAACAACAGCTGGAAACGGCTGCTAAGACCTGTGGACAGAGGAGCAAAAGGAGGAATCTGCCCGAGGAGTGTCTTGTGTCTGATTAACTATTGGTGAGGCAATAACTTACCAAGGCGATGATCAGCCACACTAGAGTCAGAAAATATGTAGAAGTAGACTTTTTAATCAGCATATCCACTTCACACTTTTTTTCAATGAAGAGCATATTCACTTCACACTTTTTTTTCGATGAAGAGCATATTCACTTTACACTGACTTATAAGCCTCTGAATTTGTTTTTTGGGAAAATCCTTTCTTGTTCTATCCTCAATGAATCAACAGAAATGACAAAGAAGAAATCCAAGAGCAACAAATATGTCCATTTGATATTTTACTATGTATATAAAGAGACAAACTTATAAAAAGGCTAAACCTCCACCTAAATATTATCTCTTAAAACCGGCCTGGCATAAAAGAACAATATCAGAGGTTAAAGAAATGACAAAAATAATCAAGCAAGATTCAACATTAGTAAAAGAAGAATTACACTAGAAATATGAAAAACAAACAGGATTTAAGTTCTATGTACTGATGAGTAGACTTTTTTTAAGTAGATAGCCATGGTTTTTCAGAATAACACAGCTGTCTTAAAGCATCCTGCACTAGTATTAACACATGAGACGAAAAAAAGCTTTTTGAATAGCCCCATTAGCCAATAATCTTTTCAATCACATCATCCTAACTTTTGCTAACTTTAAAATCTGGTTATGGTAAACAACAAGACTTCTCTACTTGACTGCAAAATCAAGAGAGGCAGAGCAACTAACAAGAGAAATCACACAAGACTTTTATCAAACAGGGTTATGGAGGAAAACAAATAGATGGGAGAACTCATGATTCACTCATATCTCCTACAACAACAATATATCTAGTGAAATAATCTCACAAGTGGAGTCTGGAAAAGGTCGAGTGTACGTAGACCTTATCTATATCTCGTCAAGGTTGAGAGGTTATTTCTGAAGGAGCCTCGGTTCAACTTTCAAGTGCAGCAAATAAGTAAAAAAGAAAAGAAAACATAACAACTAATAAGGAAAGCAACAAGAAAGGAACAATAACAACAACACAATACGTAATCCCACAATCAAGGTCTAAGGAGAGTAGTGTGTACGCAGACTTACCACTACCTTGTGAATACACACCATCATCAATCACCTCAAGTAAAGCATAGCAAGAGGCAAGCATATAAAATAACTACAATAGCAAAGAAACCATGCTGAAAACAATTAAGAAGAGAATAAGTAGCAACAACAATTAATCATAATCACCACAACACTTCATAGCTTATCTCAATTTGAGTTTCGACATAATAACCAAAATTTACTCCATACAAAAGTTATTCAGCTCAATAAAATCTACTCAAATTGAACAATTACATGCCATCTTCTTTGGGTGTCTTAGCGACTATAGATAGAGCATGTAAACCAGATTGGAATTCATCAGTCAAGAGATCATACACCATACGGTGACGTTTAACAAGATTCTGTCCATCAAATTTGTTGGACACAATTTTGAGATTGAAATGTGTCTCGTTTGTTCCGGTTTCCCTGACGGCGGCATGACCGGCATGCTGGTAAGAAACGTCTTCGACTTCAATTAAGTTAGCTTCAAGTGCTGATTGTAGCCTCGTCTTCATTCTACTTGCCCTCGACAGAATCCCTCGTGACGCCATGCTGAACCCTAATTTCTTCTCTCTTCTCCGCTAAGCTCTGTGCCACGGCCACCGATCTCCTAAAAATAATTGACTGAAGGGTTGTTTGGGTGTTGCAATAATTCGAAAGTCAATTTAATTAAAAAAAATTACGTTAATTCAATAATTTAAATAAAAAATTTAGACACTCAAAAGTTATACAAAAAATAAAAAATACATTGTTAATGTAAGTTAAAGTTATTATAGTTTGACTCTTAAAAATGAAAGGGAAATAGGATAAATATACCCCTAAACTATCGTAAATGGTATGCAAATATTCTCCGTCAAGACATTGGTGCCCCTACCGTCCAAAAACTAGAGCATATATGTCATTTATACTAATGGACATACACGTGTATCTTATCCACCGATTCGACATTTATTAAATATCGAATCGACGGATAAGATTACACCACATGTTCCTATTTAGTCTTCCGTTAGAGTGAAGGGCATATATGCTCTAGTTTTTGGACGGACGTGTCATCAATGTCCCAAAAATATGACCGAGGATATTTGTATACATTTACATAGTTCGGATATATTTGTCATTTTTTTCAAAACGAAATTATGATAATTAAAAGTGGAAAATGGAGCTAAGTAATTTCCGATTTATAGAAACTTCCATTCAGAAAACACAATTGCTAAATCAAGAACCTTCCTTTTTTTTTTGCTGAGGATTGAAAATGGAGGTGGTACATGTACAACATCGGTGGAGATTAAGGTGGTCGTTCAAGAATGCTACCATTATTGTCACTTTCTTCAATATAATTGCTGCCCTTTTTATACTTCACAGCTTCTTCTCTTCTTCTTCATCTTCCACCACACCATCTTCAGGTTCCCATCTCTTCTTGTTTTTGTTTTTCCTTTAAATTTGCTTCATTTTTAGGTTCTTGGGGTTTTTAATCTGTAAATTGTGTTTCTTTCTGTTTGATTTTTTTTCTGGGTTTTTGCTTTAGGGTAGCAATAGAAAACATAAATTTTGAGAAAGTGCATATAGGATAGAGGTTTTTGCTGTTTGATTAAGAAATGTAAAAATGATTACTTTGATCTGGAATTGTTGCATTTGGTGATCTAAATTTTCACTGTGGAACCAATTTGTATATCCAGTTGAGTTTGGAACTTGGAAGTTCAGAAAGGGGTAAAGCAGAATTGAGAGTAAATGAGATTAGGAAGTTAAAAGTCTTTCTTTTGTATTTCCTCTAATGTAAACTATTTAGTGAGATTTCTTGCTTAAATAGCACAAAATAAGGTTTCTTGTAAGTTGCCATGTGACCCTTTTTGAGTTTCTGCAAAACCTTTTGGAAGAGATCCTAAAGTTGCATTAGTTTTGTCCTTGCACCAGCTTGTGATTCGACGGAAACAAAAGATATCCACTTTTAAGTCAGTTAGTAGTTGTTGCCTGCAAGATGAATAGTAGGGCGTATTATACCTTATGAATGAGCATGATATAATGGTGTACTTGTGTGCTAGAGCTAGCAATGGGCATGGGGTAAGACATTCAGTTGCTCCCAGGTGGGGCGGCTTGATGGCAAAAGCCATAAAAAAGTGGAGGACTTTCCCATCGATGCCATGTACCAAAATAAAAGGTGGAGGTGTATATAGCCAGTTCTAGGATATTTGTTTTTTGTCAAAAACTGTTGCAAGATCACCTAATCCAATGCTGGTAAGAGAATGGCTTATATGAGTTCTTGCCGTTTCAACTGCAGTTGAAAGGTATATAACGGAAGCAGAAGAGATTCGCCGTGCTATGTTGCCTGTGGAGCTAATTAAAAGAGTGTGTACCTCCTTTTTCCTTGTTCAGTAGCTGAATAATTAGGATGCTGTGTATCAATAGTATTAGTAGTGTTTTGTTTTCTATTTTAGTGACTTTTGGAGAATATAATATCTTCTGTCGTGATAGGTGAAGGAAATTCAGAAAGAAGGTCATGTCGAACCAGATCCTCTCCAACAGAAGGATGCAAAGCAGACTGCTGCAGTAGACCTCATATCTAGACTGAACAATTATCGGTCTTATTCTGATTCAGGCAGCGTTAAAGGTAATAATTAACAAACCTCTGGACACTCTTTATCTTATCTTTAGACACAAAAAGACCTCTAGAATGCTTAGCCTCATGGTGAGTCTGTCAACAATGTCTTCTGCAGCTCTTGGAAGCAGTAAAAGAAACTTTTTGCTCAATTAAATGGCATAGCAAGCTTCAGTCAATTGTATATCTTCTAAAAAGCACTATTATCAATATATCAGTCATCTGATTTCCTTTAATTAACAGTTCATTTGCTTCCTTCTGAATTCAGTCAATGAATTGAGACTATATGAAGGACAACTTAAGTGTCAGTAGGAATACATCAACTTTATTTGTCTTAACTCAATGCACGTTACCTCTTGGAGAAGTAATTTTAATCAGATGATGGCACGTATTGTAGGACCAAAGTTTGATATTCTACTTCTATAAGATCTAAGATAGTGTCCAGAAGTAGATCATACCCAGAGAATATAGAAGAATTTATCATCGGTTTTAGTACGAGTATGAGAGCGATGCAAGTAGGCTCGAAGAGGAGGACTGAATTGTGATATAGGAATTAGTAGTTTGTCTTATCCAGTATCCTAAAAATGACACTAGGAAGAATAACAAAAGAAAGATTGAGAGAAGTGTTAAGTTTGATTATTCCCTCAAGTTTGTTTGGGCATTTATACTAAGTAGTGTACGTTGATTATTGCTTCGGTAATTTAGATGTTTTTGGCAAATTTACATCTCTTAATCTAGGTAAATCACAGCTATCAAATCAAATCAATACAAATCATGTATGATCTTCAACAGAAAACACTGTTCCCAGTAAACCACTGTCAGTTGCATCACAGCATCAGTCCATTTACATTTATCCTCCTTTGTTTAAATTTCAGACAGTAAGACATCTCTTGCCCTGCTGTAGTTTCCCTTTCCTTCTCTTAGGTGTAAAAAGTATATGTCATCCTTCTTATCATGCAGCATGAATTGTATGTACAGAAATCAGAAAACTATGCTTGGTTACCCTGTTCATTAGTACTTGCATAGTCTGAGATGCAGCATTGATGTAGCAGTGTTAAACCTGGATAAAAGATAATGCACTGCAATCGAGTGCAAAACGTCTGAAGTGCTAGAACTGCATTCTATCGCTGGTGTTAACTCCTGTTAATTTTCATAAAGATTCAGAACTAATGGGTATCAACTAGTCACACAATAAGCATCTTAGATCAGGGAAATCCATGAGGACTGTTGTGTGTATCTCTTACATGTTCTTTTGGAGCATATACTACAACCTCAAGATTGTTTTGCCGGGGTTTCTCCTACCTTGTATATTCTCCTTTCATGCATGAGTCATCCAACGTGCTAATGAGAACCAATAGTTCTGAGAAACAAGCATGGCCTACATAAAATGGACATAAAAAGTTCTCATCTTTTTGAATGGCAAATAGAATTCTGAGCTAGCCATGCATCTGTAGTATAGATTTATTCATCTGCTTCTTGCCAGTGTTTTCTGCTATCATAATGGACTTTACCTGTGAGATACTGCTCCTTTAATTGTATGTGTCGAGCTCCATGGCTGAAAAGTGTTGTGCCTCTATTCTGGTAATGACTTCTAGTACTCTTTTCTTTGCTTCAGAGAGTTCCTTTCTTTTTTCTTGGGTCAAATGCAATGCATAGTTAAAGCATGATTTTGTACGATTGTTCGTTAAACTCATTCCCTTCAATAATAAACTTTTGTACAGTTGTGGAGGAATGGCGTAAGCGAAAGATGGATAGAGCCAGGCAACGCGAACTTGAAAAGAATGGAACCACCATCTGACAGTCCTAAATCTTTGAGGGGGGTTCAAAAATGGGGCCATTTGATCGATACGACTTGTAATATCCGTTGTATATGTGTATGCTATTAACAAATATGTCTATTATCATGTATCCAAATTCTGCAGCACTTGGACAATTTTATGACATATAACATGTTAAGTTTCTATATGTCAAAAGTCAAATGTATTAGCAATTGCTCTCTCAGTTCTTGTTATATCTTTGCATTTACCAACAGAATACAAGTTTGAAGCAAAAAAATTGTAGTTTTTGCACAACAGACGATTAATTGCTTATGTGCTGCTCAGTAACACATAGTATTCTTTTTTGACCAAACACATCAAATTTAAACATATTTTGAAATGAGAAGTAATTTTAGCTTTAAAAAAACTTGGCAAATCAGGGTTGTAATTCATTAGTCTCTACCTAATTATTCATGAAACCAACATTCCATAGCTAATTCTCAAGTTAGCCATCTATGTCAATTGATGATCTTTCACATCTCAGATATTTATATTTGTTCAGTAAGTTGAAACATCAGCATTGATGTAACTGTCAAGGCAGCATCATTGTCCAGTTGGCTTCCTTGTCACTATCCAATCAACAGTGCCACATTACCAAATATAGTTGCACAAATTAACTCAAAAGT